TGAGCAGATGTTTTCTCTTGCTTCCATTTTTTTTTTTTTCAGGAGACTTGTTTTATGGTCTAGCATGTATCCTGTCCTCGAGAAGTGCTGTGTACTCGTGAGAATGCGTGTTGTGCTGTCGTTGGGTAAAGTGCTCTGGATGTGCTCCTTGGGGCCCATTGGTGCTGTTCAGGCCTCAGATTCCTTACTGACCTTCTTCTGTCTGACTCGTGCTGATTACTGGAGGTCGGGTATTAATGTCCCTCACCGTTATTGCACTGCTAGTTGTCCATTCTGTTTAGCACAGGCAGATCCAACGTTTGATGCCATATGTATTTTTCTTGGCAAATTTAATGGCACTTACTTTCCAATACCGCTTGAAGGCATCGGGATCCCTTCCCTGCTCTGCTCTTACATCGCTGCAGATGTGTCCTCGGGAGCCCGCAAGCCCAGCGGGCGCAGCGTAAGCGCAGCTGCTCTCTAGAGCGCCCGCCGGTTGCTCAGCCCCCTCTTGACAAACATGCAACGCCTCGCACATTCAGAAGCCCGGTACCAAGCGAACAGCTGTGACTCCCTTGTACTGAGCTCTGCCCCTCGAAAGTCTCTTTGTGACTGTTGCCCTCCACAGCCCTCTGTTTTACCTCATGACCTTATAAAGGCCCCGTAGCTCGTATGAGAGGCGCTGGGCTGGTTTTTAGGGCCAGAGTGTCGCTCTCAGGTTTATTCTGAAATAAAACTGACCTTATCCTTGAACCTTTTCCCTTCCCCCCATCGGAGCAGCTTTCAGACCCAGATGGCGCGCGCTGAGTAACGACTTTTAAGATGATGACAAGCGGTGTACCAGCCATTGTTACTCTCCTATCATCTTGTCATGAAGTCTGGTTTTACCTTTTTCCATAAAACCCTACCCTGTTCAGCTCATGTCTCTGTTTCTTTGCCTTTTTTTCCTAACTCTGCTCACATTTGGTCGTTAATTATCTTACTGTTTGCTTTTGTGATTGCTGTTTTTTGCTTTTCTTTATAAAGCCTTTATCTACTGAAATTAATAAATTTCTTGGGCATTTTTTATGTTTTCATGTTTGATCCTTCCAGAGGTCTGAACACTGGCCTTGAACACCAGCCTGCTGCACTGCGACTTTTCATGGGTCTGTATAGGGCAGGGCCTCTACCGACTTCCCAGTGATTGGACCATCCATGTAGGGTGTGGCCTCTACAGCCTTCCCCTTGTTTGGACCACCCCTGTAGGGCGTGGCCTCTACAGACTCCCTCCCCCATGTTTGGACTGCCTGTGTAGGGCGTGGCTTCTACCGACTCCCCTGTGTTTGGACCACCAGGCTTGTTTCCACCTTGCCAATGTGTTCTTTGATGATCTCTCTCCCCCATGTCACTAACACTGAATTAGGCGTCCAGAAACTCCTCCGTATCAGTCCCTCACCACTTATTGCTGGCTTGCCATATCCAGAAATAAGTTCTCCTATCAGGTGAGCTACGGAGGTGGGGACACCAGTCAGGGAATCGGTAAGGCCCCAGATAAAGCAAGAGGTCACAAACACAGATAAGAAAACGGGAGGAGGGGCAGAAGGGGCAGCCAGGTTATCTGAGGAGTTAATGACCACATTTCTTCCTTATCTGCTGGGAATTCCAGTCAGGAGATCAAAGCCAGAGGGTCCCTGGGGCAGGGGGCTCAGAGGGCAAAGGTAGAGGGGGCCCTAGACTGTCTTTTGGAGTTCTGGGAAACACACTCTGATGGGCTAGAGCCAAAAGGGCCTCCCTTCTTCTCTGAGGAAGTTAGAGACCAGTCTTGGCTGTGGCGTAGGCCAGATCCTACAGGACCTGGTTGAGAAGACAGGCTGAGGCCAACACCACCCAGACTGATCCTCGGCTCTCTGCAGGGAGAACCCGGGGTACACGGGGAGGCTCAGGAACATCCGTGTCTTGCAGGCCATGCAGAAGGAAGAGCATGGAACCAGCCTGCTCCCCAGTGCTCACGCTGAGGGCCTACTGTGTGCTGGGAGCTGCAGAGTGAGGCCCAATATCCTCCCCAACTCTACCCAGGTTGGCTGAGGCACAGCTCCCTGCACTCAGGTCCTGAGTCTGCTGAAAGACCTGTGTTGTGTGTGCCTCAGTTTCCCTATGTGGAGGAGGGAACCCTGCAGGGATGCTCACAGCACCCACCTGGTAGCCCAAATCCTGGAGCAGGACTCACTGACCAGGGCACAGAGGCCACAGGAGGCTGTGGTTGGACGCGCAGCACTCACTGACTGTCTCTCATGCACTCAGGCCTTGGGAACTCACAGACTTGTAGGGGATGTGGGGACACTCAGTTCCTTAGTGACCAGAGGCCCTCTGTGCAGGATGAGAGCTGGGCACCTCTAGGACTTGGGCTGCTGTCAACTTAGGCCCATGCTGTCCTTCTCTGACCTGGCTTTTGTCAGGTTTTACAGGTGGTAGCATGGCAGAGAAGGAGAAACAAGGGGGCCAGGAACCCTTTATTGACTTTGAAGGCAGAGAGCATGGGGAGATGGGCGAATCCTCTGACCTGAGACAGGGAGCCTGAGACTTTATGGACTTTGGCTAGGGACGAGCCTGAGGGGCGGGGTCAGTGACACACGAGGAGCTGATTGGAGGCTCCCGTGTGTGGGCGGGAAAGGTAAGAGGAAGCTGTATTCAGGGCTGGAGAGGGGAAGGAAGAAGTGGTCATTAGGGAGGTAAGCTGTTGTCTCAGGGATTCAGCCCTGTTGGATCAGGGCTCTGATAATTCAGCAGTCTGTGCTCGGGCTGTAGCCTATCATTCCTATCATCTGTTGTTATGAAGGGGCATTGAATCTCTTAGACTGCTTCCTGCTGAATGGGGGCATCATCTGGGGGGCAAGTAGAAGCTAGTGCCAGGTGTTTCAGCCAGGACGAGAAGTTTATTGTTAGTGGAGGCTTGCATCAGAGATTGAAGAAATCTTTTTTTATCAATATCTTCTTTAGAAGCAGTTATTAATTCTTTTACTGCAGAGTTTTTTTTGGATTGGGTTTGCTCCTTATGTTTCTGTATTTGATTCTTTACTTCAGATGCTATGAATTCAGAGATTTCTTTTTTTATTTCAGAAATTGATTCTGCTCTGAGTTCCTCTATACCTTTCTGCTGTTGTTTGTTTACTTTTGATGCTATTAATTCATATATTTCAGTTGAGCTAGTGTCCTCTGCACTTGTTCTGTGTGGGCACGAGGCCTGAGATTGCATTTTGCTCCTTGTCTATATCATTTCATATAGCACTGACCTCTGACCTTTGGTGTAGAGCTTTGGTGCAGTTATAACCTTAGCACCTACTGAAATTTGGGTGCAGATCTATTCAGCTTGAGTTTGTCCAGTTATGCCTGGCTTGAGTCTAGCTGTTGTGTTCAGCTCCTTCCTGCTGCAGCCCTTGGAAGTGAACCTGTTGTGCCCCTCTGGTACAGCAGTGAACCTGTGGTGCCCCTCTGTTGTGCCCCTGGCGCAGGGAGCACAGAGGAGCCCAGAAGCTCTCCCACACACTAGCCGGGCCTGGGCTTGGGGCTGGATCTGGAGGTCCTGAGAGTGTCGCAGAAGTTCTCACTCATTTGGCGGACTTGGGGGCAGGGGCTCCAGAAGGGTGGAGGGGTCCTAAGAGCGCAGTAGAGGGTGTCACTCATGCAGCATGCCTGAATTTTGGTCCGGAGAGGTCCCGCAGGAGCGGGGAAGCCAGAAGCTCTCCCACACACTCGCAGGGTCGGGCTGGGCTGGATCTGGGGGTCCCCAGAGTGTCACAGAAGTTCTCATTTACTCGGCGGGCTTCAGATTGAAGAAATCTTGTGTGACACCTGAAAGTCATCTGGGCAAACAGTCCAGAGTCCAGTGGCAAACAAAAATCTAGCAGAAGGTAGGGGATCAGAAACCAGATGTAAAAGCGACACATGAGTTACCCTGGGGTTTTTGAACCCTTAGGTAGGTGAAAACATGTAGGCAATAGGATCTGTGAAGACCACTCATATGACAAGGGCTCAGGATCAGGAAGAGGGGAATTGTTGGGTGAAGTGGAGTTGTCTGGACACTGCTTGGTTTGGGTGATCTGACACCAGGAGGGAAGGCTGGCTGGCAACTTTTACTGCTGTTGCTGTTGGGAGGATGGCCAGGTAGGAGCCTGTCCGTATAGGATCTAATCCTGTAGGTGTAGAGGATTTAAGATGTATTAAATCTCCAGGATATATATGGCAGCTATTTAGTGGTATCTATTGGCTGTGGGAGGCAGGTGTCTGCATGCTCTTGAAGCAGGTACCAGAGGAACAATAGAACAGGAATATAGTCAGCAATAGGAAGAAGGTTTTCAGTAGTAAGGAAATTGTGAAGCAGAAAAAGGTCTCCCATACATGAGCTTGAATGGAGTTAGGAACGTGGGTGCCCTAGGAGGTTCTCTGAGTTTAGTTAGAGCTAAGGGAAGGAGCTGAGGCCAAGCCAGGTGCAGCACCATGATAAGTTTGGTGGGATGGGCCTTTAAAAGCCCATTTGCCTCTATTCTTCACTAGTATTTAGGGGCTATTGAATGTTGGGGAATACAGGGGAAGGTTGAGGGATCCCTGAGGCAAGTTAGTGCAGGGGTACCATGGGTGGCACAAGTAGGACTGGAAGTGTCCCAGTCAGAGCATGTGTTTGACAAGAGGAAAGAGAGGGGGAGGATCTGGCTGTGCACTGAGGTTGGGTTTGTAGGATGAACACTGTGGGGGAAAAGATGAAAGAGAAGTGGAGCTTTTGAAGGAGCTCTGTCCCCATGAGAAGTGTGGGGAACATTGGGGCCTTAAGGAAACTGAGTGAAAAACAGTGTCTAGACTCAGCAGGGAATAGGCCCTGTCTGAAGGGCTCCTGTAGGTTGGCCATCAACATCCACTGTAGAGACTGTAGTGGAGACTGTAGATCTAATACAGTGACCTAAAAACTCAGGAAGAACATATGTGGCCCCTGTGTCAACAAGAAAAGGGTGTCCTACCTGAGATGTCCAGTGAGACTCGGGTTTTGAAAAAGATACCTTGATGGGGGCCATGGGCCCCAAGCCCATCATTTCTCTTCAGCAGCAAGACCAAGCAGGTCAACTATTGATGGGTCTGGCTGCAGCAAGTTCTCCTTCAAGGGTAGGGAAGTGAATGACTTACCCGCTCTCTGGCGGACAGGGCAGTTGCGTTTCCAATGACCCTCGAGTCTATAAATGAGACCAGGTCCCAGTGGTGGCTGCAGGTTGGGGCAGGCTCATGCTCAGTGTCCTTCACTGCACTTGAAACCATCCAGGAAGGGCTCAGGTAGTGGCAATGTTTAGGCTCAGCATTACCTTGACAAGGTCCTGCTTTGATGGGAGTCTTTAGTGTCACAGACAAAAGTTGGTGCTTATGTATATTTAATTTTTGTCTCTATTCTTGAAGATACAGAAAACCAGATTAAGTAAGTCTCCCTGTGGGGTTTGAGGGAGGAGATTTGTCTTTTTAAGCTTGACACAAATGTCAGGAGCAGATCAGGATATAAAATAGGAATTAATAACAATTGTTTTTAAAGGAGGATCTGGGTCTACATTAGTATACTTAGTTGGGAGCAATACACTTAATTATGAAAATTTTATCTGAATATTTAGTACCTTAAAATATAAAGTGCAATCAGAGAAGTGTTGTTTCTTACCAACTATGGATGTTCCAGGAGCTAAATCATGGAAGAATGTTAACAGATAACAGTTATATAATTTTACAGAGATCATTTGATATTAGTAGTCATACATAGTGGTGTAGCATAACAGTCATGATGAAATCTCTATTTTAGCTAAATATCTCTAAATGTACACAACATACATATCACATAAGTTTTGTTAGAAAATTACCATTTGACAGATGACCTCATATTGGCTAGATATGAACCTTTTATTACAAGTATCTGGCACATAAGAGAAAGGCATATGTTCAAGAAAATTTACATGGTAGAATACTGTACATTTGGAAGGCATGAATATCTTTATTATATTGAGAGCATCCTTTATGAGAAAACATTATTTTAATTTTTTGAAAAACTGTCTTTTCATCAGTGACCAAATTATTGGGGTGTCTTACAAGAGACAGTGGAGATTACTGGGGGGCTTCTTATTAATGAGCAAAGGTTGGCCACCCCTCTGTCCACCAATTGGAATGTTGTCCAGTAATCTCTCCATTTTAATGATTTTTATTTAATTAGTTTAAGTTTTTTATGACCTATGAGTAAACCCATTTGGATATCATTTAGACCAGCTGGTAACTCATGAGAAAGCGTGCTTCTAAGTCTATATTCTGAAGTTCAAATAAAAAGAGGAACAGCTGTTCACAGGACAACATACAGAGACATAAATACACAGAACACACAAATGAACACTTACAAAATCAGAGTGCAAGCAAATATATTTTTAACCAAATTAGATTATAACAACATTTTTAAGTTTATAATTGTAAAAAGACTAGTCAGGACTTTGTAGGTCAATTAATAAAGATCTCTTGTAAGAATTTGAAAAACATGAAAACTTCTTATTTATAGTTACTATATATTGCAGGAGAAGTTGCAGGATGGTGGTGGCCCATTGTGTGATGAGACACTAAAAGATGGTGCTCTGACAACACACGAGGAGTGACTAACACGATGAATGTGGACTGGAAGATGGCGGTGACCCATCATGTGACTGGCGCCACAAGTCAGTGCTCTGATGTCACAGGAAGAGTGACCACATGGTGGAGGTGGATGGCCACATGATGCTCAAGATGGCAGTGGCTTGCTATGTGACGGGATGCCATAAGTCAGTGCTCTGACATCACAGGAAGGGTGACCCTGTGGTGGCAGTGGATGGTCACATGGCATGCAAGATGGTGGCGGCTGGCCACTTGGTGAACAGTTGCAGACCAGCAGTGCAGCTGGAGGAGTCACACAGGAGTGGGTATGGAAAGCAGGAGGAAAAAAGGTGGGAAGAGAGGACAAAACAGGGGTACAGTGGAGGAAGGAAGGTGGGAGGGACGTGCTTTCAGAGTCAGCAGAAGCTTTTAAGGGATTTCCGGCCATTTGCCATCATGATACCAGAAATTTTAAGAGTTCAAAAGTTCCCTCTTCAGGCCATTGGATGCCATTGTCAAGTTTATATTGTGGCCAAGCCATCTGGCAGTAAAAAAATTAGTCCTTTGGGTTTGAGATAACCTCAAAGTCCAAGGGCACTGAGGTACTTTAGGAGACAACCCTGTCCCGTGCGCTTTGCAGGATGGGAAGAATATTTCCCATGGTGGTCAAATTAGAAGTGAGCCAAAGATTAGAGCAAAAAGCCCGATGTCACTTCCTGCCAAAAAGCCTTCACTTTTTAGCCTGGAGTGAGTGTGAGAGAGAGAAGGCCAACACCTACTTTAGCAGTCATCACTAGGAAAAGGGGGGCACGGGGGGAGGTCCAGATAGATGAGGAAGATGGGGTTCCCAACACAAGCTCACGATTTTCAAGACCCCGTAGTTTTTTTGGCTCACTAGTGAGGATTGAGATTGGCCAGTGCTAGATGCCAGCTAGTAGTGGCAGACAGCAGACACAGAAGCAGAAGGCAGCTCTGTAAGGGAGCTCAAAGCCAGGGCAGGGGACACCCCAGCCACACCACCCGCCAGTCTGAGTCACTGCACCAAAAATGTCAGGTTTTATTGGCAGCAGCACAGTAGAGAAGCAGAAATAAGGGTGAGGGCAACCCTTTATTGACTGAAGACACAGAGAAGATCCAGGGCAGGGAGATGGGGGGATCCTCTGACCTGAGACAGGGAGCCTGAGACTTTATGGAGTGGAGTTGAGGGGCAGGTTCTGGGACACACAAGGAGCTGATTGGAGGCTCCCTTGTGTGGGCAGGAAAGGTAAGAGGAAGCTGTATTCAGGGCTGGAGAGGCGAAGAAGGTAGTGGTCACTGCGAAGATAAGCTGTTGTTTTGGGGATTCATCCGTGTTGGATCAGGACCGTGATAATTCAGCAGTCTGTACTGGTGCTGTAGCCTATCAGCTTTGGCCAGTGGAGCCAGCTCTGCCAGGTCACCTGTACACTATAGCCCCAGGTGTAAAGCATTCAGTCAGTAAAGCTGTCACCTCTTCATTTTCTGTCAGTTTGTGAGGAGACAGAGGAAGCCTCCACCTCTACCTAACTGTGCCATCCAGAATCTTTACTAAGCCCGCAGCACGAGGAGAGGCTTCGCACACAGCGGCATGTTCTCCTTTGAGGAAACCTATGTTTTAGGTGCAGTACCCTCTCTAGCAGTTAAGGAAACTGAGGGCAGAGACACTGAATTAAGGAGAGGGTGAAAGGATTACTTGTTCTATTTTGTTACATTCCCTTAGCATTTTAATCCTAATACCTGAGTGTTGAAAGCCACCTTGAAAGTAAAAGACAATGACATTGAAACATCTCAGGACGTATTTTGAGGCTCTTAACTGTTGACTAAAAATGATTGTTTTTAATTTCATACATATTTCTTTTCTTTTTTATTATTTGTTTATTTAAAAAATAATTTTATTGAGAAACAATATGAGACAGTTTCAAAACCGATGGCTAGCACAGTTTCAATAATTAATACATTGCATCATACATATTTCTAATGACATATGTTCACCGTGTCTGTGTGAAAATAATGTAAAAGATTAAGCTGGGGCTGGTCTTGCAGTTCGGGGGTGGCGAGCTCGGGGTGGAGGGCCAGCTAGGACCGGCTTGGTTCTGGGCGATCCCAGCACTGTGAACGTGCACATCCGGTTTCTTATTACACCGCCTTCTGTTTGTCTACAGGTAATCCCACCTGGCAAGCACTAGAATTCTGATTCCCAGGGGCAGAGGCTCCGGGTGCCGACTGGCCCTGCGCTCAGCCTCTCCAGGGGACCCCACAGCCCTACCTGGAGTTTCCCAGCCCTGCTCACCCCGCGCTGATTTCCCAGGCAGCACCGCTGGGCTCCAGCTAACGCAGCTTTCTCCCGGGCTCCCTCTGTCGCTCCCTCCGCCTTCCCTGTGCTCCCCAGAGTCTGTCCGGGTGAGGACGGTCTTTGAGTGGCTTTCAGGAGCCCTGGCTGCACCCCTCAGGGGTCAGGGCGTGCTAGGTTTGCCTCAAAACCCCAAACCCCAGGGCTCAGTCCAGCCAAGACCGATTTCGGGCTCCCTCTGCAGGCCCCAGGTGGGTTGAACAGGGGGCGGTGACCTCAGAGCGACCGAGAGGACCCTTTGAGGACAATAAAGGAACTATACTGAGAAAGAAACAAGAAGAAAGCTGGAGTGGGAGAGGGAGCTGGAGAAGGATGGCGGAGAGGCGAGGGAGAGCGCGGACAGAGCATTCAGTTTGTCACCACTGTGCCCCAGTCTTCTGACCTCTCACTTTTAATCGGTCTTTAAGGTTCTCACTCGGGCGCCCACCGATAAAGCCGGTCTACGAGGGAAGAGCCCCTCCCTCTCCTATGGGCGCGGCTAGGGAACCTCAGTTCCCCTTTCTCAGTAGCAAACGGACCACCTCGCCGCGATCTCTGGGGACTGGCGCGCAGGATCAAATCGGCAGTGAATACGTTTTTACAAGTGAAGAACCAGGCAGCTCCGAGGGACCCCGGCTGTGCAGCTCGGTCACGGGGGTCCCTGTGGGTTCCCAGGGAGCTGGCTCAGCCCCCTCTAGGGCTTTAAGCCGCCTGGATGTGGGCGTCTCCCCAAGTTTCTCTTCTCATAATGACGGATAGTCAGAAGCAAAATGACAAAATGATGGGTAGAGGCCGAGCGCCCGAAGCCCCTTCCGCCTTCTTTGTCCTCCCCGAGGACTCTCAAGAATGTTTCCCGGCCTTTGCGCCCGCAGCTGTCGCACGTGGAGATCACACGGGTCTGCGCCCGGGGCAGTGCCTGCTGCGGCCTCGGGCACAGGGAGCCCTGGCACAGGGGCTGCTTTGCCTAGCGCGCGATGCCGTCTCACGGAGGCCGGAGCGCGCCTGGCTGCTGCTCTCGTCTTGCTCCGAGGAAGCACACAGGTGTCCCTTATACGGCGTGGCCCTCAGGGAAGCAGTGTGAAGGCTGAGCTTTGGAGGAGCAGGAAGAGCCTCTAACATTGTAGTCTCCTGCAAGCTGGGTGACATGCAGCAAGCCCACAGCCACCCGGTGCCTCGGTTTCCCTATCCAAGCGCGTGACATGAGGTCAGAGCGGGCGCAGCGCTGCACCCCCGGGGGGGTGGGTTCTGCTGCGGAGACAGTGGAGACGGGGCTCCTGCTTCAGCTCGTGGGCTACAGTGAGAAGGGCTTCTCAGGCCCAGCTAACCTCGCATAGATGTCACAGACTTGGCAGTCCACGGGTGGATGTGAGTCTCGGGTGTCCCTGACGCCCTGCCTCAGGCAGACAACCGGTAGGTGGCGGCATCGCGAGTGGAATTCAGTCCTCAGAGCCAGGAGGACGACCCCTGAGGTGCGGAGGAGGTGCAAGACCCCAAGGAAGGGAAAGGGTGGAGGCCCTGACAGGGAAAACTCAAGATCAGGGAAACCTGTCCAGGAAACCACCCTTACTCTTAGTTAGATTGCGTCACATGACCTTGCAAGCACTTGACAATTTGACTAAGAATATGATTCAGCCTTGTGCCTTACCTTGGCGCTCAGGGAATGGGAAGCTGTGGAAATGGCTGCTGCAGGGTGGGCGGTGTCCTCAGGGTCACGGCGTCCAGGGAGAGCCCCGGCAGCAGGCGCCTTCGCTGGGCCCGGTGGGCATCTAGTGCCGCAGCAGTCAGCAGGGCCTAAGATCCCCGCAGACCCAACCTGGGAGGTCCAGTGCCACCTCACGCGGCTGGTGGCTTCCTGCAGGGAGGAAAGCCACAGAGAGGCAGCCAAGCACTGTGGTCCTAGGAAGAACCTGGCCAGCAGCAGGCAGGGAGATGCCTGGGGAGTGATGGGTGCTTTCTGCCCCAGCGGTGACCTCCAGAGCTACCCACAGCACAGTGGCCACGTCCAGGGAGGAGAAGGGGAGGCAGAATCAGTGCCTTGGGCCTGGTGGGCCTGGCAAGTTCAAATGAGGACAAAGGCTGGGCCCAGAGCCCCTCATGCACTGGAAGGGGCTATTCCTAAAAGGAGACATGTGACGGTTCTGGGGCACGTTGGGGGGGGGGACCAGACCCGACATCACTGTCCTGTGCAGCCCCTCAGAGGAAGGGGTCCACAGACCACCTAGCTCCGCTAGTTTCAGGAATAACTCTGTGGGATGCAGGAGCCAGCGCTGTGGGGTGGCAGAGTGAGTAGGGAGGGGCTGTATGCAGCAGCTCAGTGCCTGCAACTCCTGGAGCCGCCGGAGGGCAACGGGGTGGGTGCGACCAGGCCTGCAGGGGGCACTGCAGTGCGGACAGTGAGGGCTGTGCACCTCAGGACACGGAGGTCACTTGCCTGGTCCTGGGGCCTTGGGCTGGCACCTGAGCCACACAACCCCCTCGTGAGTCCCAGACAAGATTGGACATTTGGCACCAGAGGGGCCCAGGGCCTGTGGGGTGAGGTCTCAGCCACAGTGGCCCTTCCCAGCCCAGGCTGCACCACACAGGACCTCACAGGGACGCCAAGACACGCTGTGACCTGGTCTTCTCATAATGTCAGAGTGCAAGGAGACTCGGACACAGAGAAGGGGGCTGGCAGTTTACACTCAGGAGGTGGCCAGACCACCTGTGTTAATGTCATCCATGGGGGCTGGAAGCCTGAAGCAGTTACTGCTGTGTAGGGTCCAGCACTTTCCCCATGAAGAGCTGTGATTCGGTCAGCCCACCCTTGATGATGACCAGGAAGTGCCTATTGAAACCGGTCGTGGAGACCACTGTCAGACCCTCTGCTCCAATTTGACCTTCCAGAGGCCTTCTGCACCCCTGTATCCAGGGCCAGCACAGCCTTATGCATGACCTGAGGGGACAGAGGTAGGGCAGGCGCTGAGGCTGGGCTGTGCCCACACAGGCTGGAGCAGCTGGAGCAGGCAGCCTCGTCCCTGGCAGCCTCACTGGGGCCTTTCCCCTCCTGCATGGTCACAGAAGGCCTTTCCCCATGACCCTTCTCACAACCCTCTGCTCCCTTTTTCACCCCATCTCCCATTCCTAAATACACACTTGGTCTTAAGCAGAGGAACATGTGGGCACCATGTCTCTTGGCAGAGACATTATGAGACAGAAGGTCAGTCAGGTAGCTCGGGTGGAGCCCATTCAGTGCCATCTGCACAGGAATCCACCTCCCAGCACTGACCTTGACCCCAGCCCAGCCCAGTGACTCTCACACCTACTGGGGGCTCAGTCCAGACCTTGTCAGTGTCCCCAGTCTCCTTCCTCACCCTGAACTGTTCACCACACCACTCTGCCCTGTGGACCTCTTGGACATCGCCATCGTCATGTGACCTCACCTTGGAGAGCTTTGGGGCGCCTCCTCTGTGACCCTGGAGAGGTCAGCTGCACTGCTGGAGACCTTGGCGATGCCCAGCGTGCCCAGGAGGCTCTTCAGATCATGGCTCCAGAAACGGCGAGCCGGGAAACAGTAAGTTAGCATACCTGTCATGGCAGAGGAAAGCGAAGGACATTCTCAGTGCTTCTCGTGCCCTGCTGGGACCCACCATTGCGACAGTGTTTCTTTTCTCATTGTGTCACCCAGCAGGGTGGGAAGCTGCCCTGGCTGGTTGGAGTTTTCTCTTACTCTTGGGCTGCGTGTGGGGAAGGTGAGGCCCATTGGTTTGTGGAGAGGAAGGAGATGGCCCTGGGCTGGTGAGCACTGCCAGGAGCAGCGTGTTCTGCTCTCAGCCCCGTGCACAGGGACCTCAGCAGGGCTGGCGTGGCCCCCGTGGAGACCACTGTACTCATGGTCCACCCTCACATCCGTTGCATTATAGGGTGTGTTTTGCAGCGAGCACCATGCAATAGTGCCGCAGGGCATGGACTCGCTTGTGATGCCGGGGGACTGTTGCTCGGGGACCCAGTGTCCGCTCTGCACAAGTGACTGTGAAGCAGAGCATGGGACAAAATGCCTGGGTGCTCCAAATCTGGCCCTGTGCCTCTCTGGGCCTTTCCCCAAGTGCTTCCGCCTTCCATGCTAAAGTTCATGGGACAAAGAAGGAACTGATCTTTTCAGACCCACAGGAACTGCCACTGGAAAGTGATAAAGGGGCACTCCTGCCTGCGTGTCTTCAATAGGAACCTGTTGCACAAGGCTCTGAGGTCACAAGTTATTTCCTGTTCTACAAGCGCTTCATGCTCTGTAGCCCCATATATGCACAGACTTTTATTATTTTATTTTATTTTTTGCAGAACCGGGGATTGAGCTCAGGCCCTTGTGCTTGCCAGGCAAGCATTTATTCTACTGAGCTAACTCCCCAGCTCTACACAGACTTTTAAAGGAATGCTACCTTTACCATTCATGAAGACTCTGGCCACAGAGACATGGTGCCTTCCACACAGCATTGCCCAGTCTACCTCTGGCCTCTAAGACCAGGAACACCTGTTTCCAGGAAGCTCATGCAGAGCTTTCTGCCCCATTCCCTTTAAAAACTTCCCCTTGCCTGGACCCCCTTGAATGTGCCCACAGTTCATGGTGAGTTTACGTAATCCCCCTGCAAAACTCTCATCTTCCCATTTACATGCCACTGTCCTTGGGGATCTCTGATTGTTATTTTGAGTGGCATCTCTGTGGTGCATCTACCTTTGAACCTCCACTCCACTGCTGCCTGGTCCTCAAAGCCCCTCTCCTCACCACCCCCAAAGCCTCCACCCATAGCTGATGCGGCTGTGCCTGGCCCCGGCAGGGGATGTTGGGAAGGGACAGCATCTGTGCGGGGCAGGGAGGTCCCATAGTAGGATCTTTGCTTCCCCACTCTGAGCACTGTCAGGTCCCAGCCCTGCCAAGCCTACAGGAAGGGAGCAGTGGACCCTCAGAGGCACAAGGCGATGTGAAGTGGTGGTGACCCAAGGGATGGGGTTCACCCTCCCAGCCTCTGGCCAGCCCTGAAGGGCCCCTGTCCTGATGTGGCCCAGAGGGCTGGGCAGCACCTGACGGCCCCTGCCCTGGAGAATCACCTAAGCGCAGTGTGCCTCTGGATGGCATCAAGGTGCTCGCGGGTGAGTCTTCGCTGCAGCTGCCGCATCTTCCCCAGGTTGGGCATGATTAAGAAGGCTGCGGCATCACCCACATAGTGCCGGACCAGCACCCAGCTGGACAGCCTCCTGTGCTGCTGCAGGTGAAGTCTCCCTAGGCGGTGGACCATGGCACCATGACGACTCGCTTCTTGGGCACTTGGAAGTACTCTTGCACACTGCGATCCACCAGGAATTTCTCCTGCAGCTTTCATTGAGAGAGGAAGGCATAGCAGGGAGGATTTAAGGTTGAGCTGAGTGTGTCACAGCAGCAGATCCCCGAGACTCCTGAGACACTGGTCTCTGAGCTTTCCCCGTATCACCTGCCAGATGGGATGACAAGGAAACCACACAGCTGCTGCCTTTAGCAAGAATCGCTGCAAGCTGCAGAGGGTTTAGAATGTCCACCTTCTAAGATAACAGGAGAGAAGCAGTCGTGTTTGCATTTGCCACCATAGGTGACTGTGGGGGATAATTTTCTTCCTTGCTGATGCTGGTGACTGTGCCCTGGCCCATCCCATGCTGAGCAGTCACTCACCTGTGCGGAAGCGCTTCTAGGCCGGTGTTGGAGGCCAGATCAAAAGGGCTTGACCTCACAGAAAAAAGTCTGATGAAAAAGTAAGTGTGGCGATGTGCATAAAGGGCCCAACTGCAGACTCAGTGTTCCAAAATGTGTGGTCTTCTGCTTATCAGCTTGGCCCAGACAATCCTTTCTGTCCCAGAAAAACAAAAAGAATTGAGATTAGGACAAATGTTGGACACATGATCAAGACTTTCTGTATATAAGCTTAAAGCAAAATGAACTCATTGCTGGGCCAGCAGTCCAGACCTCCTGACCCCGGCTTGCTTTCTTTTCATTCCATCCTCCCTCTGCCCTGATCCCCTCTGCGAGGGCTGGACCCCCACATGCCTGCACCTGGTACCCATCAGAGGATGCTCTCTGTACTTCTGGTACAAGGTCAAGC